AAATCAAGAATAATGCATACACATGCTTTAGGGTACATGTAGTAGATTGTAAAAGGAATAATAAATACTACAAAACTTACTTCATACAAAAGTCCATCACCGGATACAATGATAATACCATCCCATTCTTTCAGATTCAAGTTTTTTACTATATCCTGAGCATGTCCCTGATATTCTAAGGAAGAGGTAAAAAAAATACAGAATATTTAAATGATTGAGTGTTATGGCAGTCACTAATTACACTTTATCAACAAAATTATTCCCATATATGTTTTGAACTATTTTTGGCCTTATAATCACAGATAATGCGATAACAGCGCAGATGTTCATTCAATAAAATGTTCATTCATTAACTACTATCATGTCACCAGACTGAACTTTGATATCAGACGGCATAAACTACGACATGTTACCAAATAGCATTACAGGAAATCACCATTCTCCACACAGTGCTAGTAATTAATTGCCAGTGTCTCGTAAGGTTAACTAGCTGCTTTATTTTTGTCACACAGTGCTAGTAATTAATTCCCAGTGTCTCATAAGGTTAACTAGCTGTAAAGAAATGAATTTCAGTGGCAGTGAATACTTTATTGCGACCTTTTCACATTTTTAAAAAACTAACTATTAGTTATTTCTATGTAGATTTATTATTTTTATATAAAAACTTAATTACATCAAATTTCATAGTTCTATTTTTTACAGTCTAGTTAAAACACCTTTGCATGCCACTACTTTTCATATGAAAAATATTTGTATTTTTTGGACCAAGTAGACATTTCCCAATGTCTGCAGGTCATGATCAAATTTTGTTGATAAAAAATTATGGAAACAAAATATGTTCGTTTTATTTGGCGAAAAGGAACAAAAGTTAAATACTACGTCAAATCAAAGTAAACACATACTGCAACGTACTGCAACTCAAACCGGTGCTCGCGTACAGCACCTAATCGCCTAGCTTCAAGTCACTTCAGGTTACCCCCTTGGCCAAGAGGCATCCCCAATAAAGTATGCTTAATAACCAAGCTTATTACATGCAGAGAGCTATCCATGGCACACACAAAAAATTCTCTCTCCCATGTAAGTGATACTATTTTATTAAAAAAATATTAAAAATTTTTTTTTTTATTAATAAAAGATGTATTTCTTTGAATAAATTGGTAGAAAACAGGTTGGTCATCCCTTTGAGATTGTTTTATCTCTGCATCATTTACATTATGTCTTGTCTCATCTGTGATAGCATTTTAACAAATAATTTAGATATATCTGAAATTATTGCAGTGCGACATGATGTATTATGTTCATGTAAAGTTGAACAAAGGCACATATGAGATGTAGGTATGGACGGCTGTTAGAAGGATAGATGGAGGACTTTCTCGTATTTGCACTATTTGCTAAAAATGTAAAATGCAACCAAACTCAAAATGTAGAATTATCGTACTGAGTTGAAACAAAATCACACAGGCCATCTCAGAAAAAAAATTTATAATTTTTTTTAACCAATTTCAAAATACAACTGTAAATTTGATTAGAATTGTAATGTGTAGCTCTGCATTTTATCTCTCAATATATTGTGTATTTGGCAAGTCTAGTACTAGCAGTGATTTTGTCCAAACAGGGACTGAGTATGTCATAATTACATTCTGATCTATGGATGTGTGTTTAATATACTAAATTGTAGCACTTTTTTCCTATTTTTTTTTTTTTTTTGTAATATGGAGCCATTTTGAAAAGTGACCTGATTGTTATTATAGGTGGTTTGTCTGCAGCCCACTTGTGGGCTGTGTTGTCACAGCATAGATGTGATACTTTTTTTGTATAGAATAACAATGACTAATGATCTGTAGTGTACTACATGTTGTATTTCATCACAAATCACCTCTTTAGCTATTTAGTAGAGTCACCATGCATTGTAGTTTTCAATCCAGGGTGTTGCTCTTAAAAAAAAAATTCTATTTTTAAATATTGTGGAGAAAGTTGTACTAGGATCAAATGAGAACGAGATCTTTCGGAAAAACAGTACTTTCTTAGTATACAAGCATTGTTGACAACTAGCAACAAAACTAGTATCCAGGGTACTGTGTGGAAAGAGTACTTTCAGAGGAAATGATGATCGAAAACTGTCCACTTCCAAGATAAGTGGACTATAAGAACAATAGACATGAGCAAAAAGTAGTACTGATAGTTACTATACCAGTATATAAATTGAATTCTAAAGAACAGTATAATGGCATGCAGTATACATATATTATTAAGCTGGTACTATTTTTAGCCAATGAATCCAAATAGAGTCCATATTATCCCCATGTTTATATAGTACTAATACTGTAGGATACTTTATTTTCGCTTGGAATTTATTTTTGCTATTTTTGCTGAAGGGATGATTCCGTGAAAATAAAATCCAGCGAATATACTTTTTTTCCTATATTTCACATTAAACTCATCAAAAATCAGTGAAAATAAATTCCAAGCAAAACGCCCAAAAAAGCCTTTTCAGCGAAAATTAATTCCAGCGAAAATAAAGTATTCCACAGTATTTACTGTTTCTGTCAATTGCATAAGATATTTTGTTCAGTTGGCAGCAGCAGTGAAAGTGAAGCCCTATTTTAACCATAACAAAGATGACCACAAACAGGTCCTGTACACTCTTGGAGGTTAATAGTTCGCCCCACAATGGTAGCCTAATCTGACCCCTACATGACTGGAATCCAATGATTCATGTCAAGGCTGGTTAAACAAAGTCATTGTATTTAGAGGTATGGCTACATTTTTTAGACTGACTCCATATGCAGTTAACAAAACATTCATATTCATTGTATTTAGAGGTATGGCTACAGTTTTTAGACTGACTCCATATGCAGTAAACAAAACATTCATATTCATTGTATTTAGAGGTATGGCTACAGTTTTTAGACTGACTCCATATGCAGTAAACAAAACATTCATATTCATTGTATTTAGAGGTATGGCTACAGTTTTTAGACTGACTCCATATGCAGTAAACAAAACATTCATATTCATTGTATTTAGAGGTATGGCTACAGTTTTTAGACTGACTCCATATGCAGTAAACAAAACATTCATATTCATTGTATTTAGAGGTATGGCTACAGTTTTTAGACTAACTCCATATGCAGTAAACAAAACATTCATATTCATTGTATTTAGAGGTATGGCTACAGTTTTTAGACTAACTCCATATGCAGTAAACAAAACATTCATATTCATTGTATTTAGAGGTATGGCTACAGTTTTTAGACTGACTCCATATGCAGTAAACAAAACATTCATATTCATTGTATTTAGAGGTATGGCTACAGTTTTTAGACTGACTCCATATGCAGTAAACAAAACATTCATATTCATTGTATTTAGAGGTATGGCTACAGTTTTTAGACTGACTCCATATGCAGTAAACAAAACATTCATATTCATTGTATTTAGAGGTATGGCTACAGTTTTTAGACTGACTCCATATGCAGTAAACAAAACATTCATGGTTTAATGGTTTACATGTAGGTTACATAATTACCATAGGTATGGCTACAGTTTTTAGACTGACTCCATATGCAGTAAACAAAACATTCATATTCATTGTATTTAGAGGTATGGCTACAGTTTTTAGACTGACTCCATATGCAGTAAACAAAACATTCATATTCATTGTATTTAGAGGTATGGCTACAGTTTTTAGACTGACTCCATATGCAGTAAACAAAACATTCATATTCATTGTATTTAGAGGTATGGCTACAGTTTTTAGACTGACTCCATATGCAGTAAACAAAACATTCATGGTTTAATGGTTTACATGTAGGTTACATAATTACCATAGGTATGGCTACAGTTTTTAGACTGACTCCATATGCAGTAAACAAAACATTCATGGTTTAATGGTTTACATGTAGGTTACATAATTACCATAGGTATGGCTACAGTTTTTAGACTGACTCCATATGCAGTAAACAAAACATTCATGGTTTAATGGTTTACATGTAGGTTACATAATTAGGTAAGCAAGATTTTTGTGCAACATTTTGCCAATTTTTAAGTATTTTTCTATGATTGTTTTTATCATTTTGAATCAATGGAAATAATTTTCTATCACCTACAGGTTTTGATCAAAATCTTGCAAAAACAAATATTTTATGAATTAGGTTGAAAATTGATTTTTGTGTTCAAAGGGTTAATATCATGTGACATATTTCAGAAATCAACAACTAACAAATAATATATGAAAACACACGAGCCTCTATCAATAAATGTTTTTGAAATTACAAATTCTATTTTTATCAAACTAAAAATATGTTTTCCCTATACAGATCTAGTTTATACACCATCAAAATAACAGGAGCCTTGAATGACCTTTAATAATTATACACACCACTGTATTCAACTTATACTGGTAGGATTGTTTACAGTGTCCTTCAACAAAATTATAGTCAATATACTAAATAATGGTAAATAAATATACTAAGATTCTCTAATGAATATATATTGGATGACAACTTCAGCACTTGGCATAGACAATGACACATTCTAAGAAATGATACATTGCACTTTTTTAGACTTAAATTTGCTAATCATGTTTGTTTATACTTGAAACCATTTTAATTCAAAAGTAGAAACAAGTGTGAAATTTTGTAGAAGTGAATATTTATTTCATTTGGGATCTTCAAGGACTTTTGCGAAACTTTGACCTCACAAATGTCTTTGAGATATAAAAACAAGAATATTGATAGCAACACAAATAAAATGATTTCCTGTATATGTAGCAGGTATGTGAATGGTTGTTATTCCATTTTTGAATTGATTACAAAAATAAACTAATGAATAAATTCTCATTTTGTGTATATTTCTTGACCAAACCTACATAAATCATTCTTTTAAAAATCAGCAAATATATCTAGAATGCAGTGAATAACATTTTTCATTCAATTTCAATCGAGGATGGACGATCTTATACAGGTGAGAAAAAAAACACACAAAACATCTGATTAGGCTACTAAGGTTACTAGGTTATCCAGACAAATTTTCATTTCAAAAAAAAAGATGTGACTTGTCAATTAAAAAGTATACATAACAAGCCAGATTTGTGAATTTCTATGTGGGACCCATGCAAAATCTCAGCATGGTAATATGAAAAAGAATCCTTAACAATACTATAGTATACATGTAAATATGCAAAACCATTAGAGCTGCATTCCAAGTTTGTATTAGTAGAAACAACTCCCACTGATTATTTTGACCACCATGAAAAATGATAAAATCAGTTGGTATGGCAACAAATCCTGAAACATTGGAATACTGAAGCTAGCTTGTACTGAATGTTGTGGTGACTAATCACCATATCAAACATAATATTCACTGTTGTAATGACTCAAGACCATTTTACTTTTTTAGGAACATCTTCTAAAATTTATTTCAGGAAACTTCAGATAAACATTTTTAGCAAATTGCACAAAAGCTAAGTGCTTTTAATGCTTACAAGGGTCATAAGAAATTTTCTATAGATAATAAAACGTGGGAATACAATTTTAATGCTAGCTAAATATTAGAAAATGTTCCAAAAAAATGCCTTTATCTAATTATTTAGAAAATTTGAGTTTGTTGAAAAATAATCAAAGGACGAGCAGATGGTACAAAAGCATATTCCATTTGTCGCATCCCTAGGGGATAATTACCGCGCGTAGAAGTAGCATTCAATAACAGCAGTTAAAAATACAAAGACATGTATATTCTAAATAATCTGGTCACAAGGGATATCTATGTACCATAGGCCATGTTTGATAGAACTTTTTACATCAAAAAAGTTTTCTGTTAATGTACCACAAACTACAAGAGAGACTACTTTGAAACACCAACTGTGTGTGTCTTGACAGTAATGACTCTAATCAATCAATTATTTTGAATAACATGCTATATATGACCTTTGACTCCCAACAAGTCTGTTGACCTAAACTGAGGACATGTGATCAGTATGCATTTTCTTTTGGCTAATTATTAACTAGAGTTGCCATGTGTCTTGGTTGAACTTCAAACCGGATTATCAGCTCAACTGTCCTGACATTTTGGTTTTCAAGATTTTAATTTTCGATGTATGGTATTTTAAAGCATGATGACATGATTTCAGCAGGTGGGTTTCTGTATTTTCTAGGGGGATGTTACCTCCTGGGGGGTAAATGTTGGGGAAAACAGTCAGCAGTTCAATAAAACACTGCTGTAGTATACAAAATCCGTCACATAGCTCTATCTTGCTGTTTTTTATCTATTCCATCTATAGATCTGTTCCATTTAACCCATCTAGATACAAGAGTGAAAAAATGTTGTACCTGTAATGATGTGATGGTAATTTATGCCACTTTCTCCCAACAAAGGAACGACTCGTTCTCGAAACAGTGTGACAGCTTTTCCTTTACCACTATGAGGATTGACTAACAGCAGCAATTTCTTTACGGACGGAAGTCTGCTTTTTTTAATATCTGGATTTAATGAAATATAAAGAAGAATGATCAGGGCATCACAAGAATGATCACATTAAATAAATTTACATTTTCAAAGATTTTGTTTTGCTCTAAAACATTGATATTAATTAAGTTACGCTCATTCTGGTTGCACACACCCTTCTGTGTCAACACACTTTTGTTGAAATATTAACTTTGGAAATACATTTAACAATGTAAGCACTCTACATCATACCGGTACCTCGTGTGAAATTAGTCAAGAAACATAACGGAGATTTGTAATTAAAATAAATGAATTAATAGGTAAACTTAATTAATTGATTAACGGTTTTCATTCCAAAGGCGTAGACGATTGGTATTATTTACATGTAATACATACAGGGGGTTTAAATTTGGTCTCTCAGCTGATTCCTCACTCAAGGACGAGCGTACAAAGACAGCGTCCGGTGTTGACGGCGGCACCGGTGGACGCATACATGTGTGATGATACGTACCTTGTTCTGTAGTGATTTGTACACCTCGAAGCAGCATGTGAATAGCCATCCACCACTTATCAGCAATCGCCATATTTGCTTCAAACGTTTCATGGTGCGTCACCCGAAAAACTATTACCTTTCTCTGCCTAATCCTGGTTCCTCCGAGTGTTTTCTTCCCAATGGGGTATGTATAGATGGTGAAATAGGCAGATTTGTCGTCCGGCCGACGACCTCTCATGCAGTGACAGCCAAGAACATCGTCGAGCTTGATCACGCTAGGCGCAGTTGCATTGGCTACTCTGTCGTAAACAATGGATGTCCTGTAAAGACATACCTTGAGGTTGGTTTTTTTGGGATAAATGGCGAAAACATCTTCCAGTATTTTTGTGTCGTTGTCATCGCAAAATTCATCGCGCAGCTCAGCCATGATGTTGTTGATCGCTTGAAGTAATTGGTTCCCCTAAGTGAATAATAAAATCACATCAGTTAGTTTATCCCTAGCGTACTTGCAATAGGCAGGTTGGCAGCTTCAGGAGAGACAGAGACCGGAGCAGCAGGCATTCAAAATTGTGTGCCGCTTTAGCATACACTATTGTCTCATCGAAAGATGCATTCTGAGTATCATCTTCAGTGACATCATCAGTGATTAGTTTGCATAGTAAATGGATCGTGGGCGTGTCAAAGTCCAGGTCCAACACTTCCGTATTCCCATGATGCTCTACGAGTCTGTGTGTCGAGGGCAGCAGATAAAAAGTTTGTGTACACATTTCTGTTTTCCAGTTTAGAGGACTATAACATTTCCGTAACGTCAACTATTTTATCTTCTTTAGTGTGATCCAGTCTGAATGCTGGATCACTATGCTCAAAAAAGAAACCATGAAGAAGCAATTTTTACGAGTAAAACAGCTTGCTAACCAGAACTTCGGAAGGTATGTAACCCACTCTCGACTCATTCGATCTTTCAAAACATCGCGAGGAGTTTCCTCTGTCTCATGCTCTCGTTCCTACAAATACATACCACGTTACCACATGACGGGAACGAGTATAATGCTGACATTAGTGTGTAACATCACACAAGTTGGCAAAGATAGTGCCATGGGCTGAGTATCGAAACACGCCCATCTATTATGGTTTTAAAAACACATAATAAATTCTGTGTAAAGTTGACATTTATGTGTCGTTATCAATGAGCACCAGTAGCCTTGGTATTCAGCTTATTTCAAGTACCAATTACATGAGCACGCGTTTTGCAAGGCTTATTCTTAGACCGTACTTATTGAATTTGGTTGTTGTCACTTTTGTTACAGCTGAAGTGCATACAATATTGTATGTTCTGTGATGTGACGGAGTCACTATCACTTTCATGTAATTGTAAGACTGAAAGTTCACATTCTCAGCATGTCACGTCATTTTACGTCCATCACCAGACATTCTCATGTTGTTCTTTTTTTATTTGTATGATAAATTTTAAAGCAAGGACATTTTTTGTTACTCTGATATTAAATTTCCATATTTCCACTCAACAATAGTGTCTCAGCATTAACTGTACCAGACAAAATAAGGATCCAGGAAACCAGTTAGACATTTTTAATCAATCCCATTTGTCATCTATTCAATAATTCACCTTCAGTTTTTATGATTATCTTGGCAAGACAACAATGTTCTGTTTTTTTCTGTATATCCAATTGTGCACTTGGACAAATTTGCTTGAACTCTGTCATCTTGAACTTCAAACTATCATAAACTCAAGGCACAGTCCCTCTATCAGAGTGATCAGAGGGACTGTGCTCAAGGCAACAGACAGGAAATGGTATTTTCACTTGTACTTTCTATTCACATGCATGTTAAATCGTTTAAATTTTTGTCAAAAAATGTGACCAGTAAATTCATTTCAGCATTTCATTGCTTGCATATTACACAACTTTTTTTTCAAGAGAAACACCATTGATGACCTATCCTCATGTTCATGAAATTCCTAGATTATTTGTGCATCAAATTTAAAAGTTCTGAAACTATGAAAATAGTAGTTTCCTTTGTTTGAGCTGCCCATGATGAAAATAATATTTTTATACATGTAGTTAATAATAAAAGTGAATAATCAATAATATAATATTTTTACTGTTGTCTCTTCCACACAATGAATGAGTTTCATATATTAGGTTAGTTAAATATTAATTCATTTTATTTTTATTTTCAGAGCTGAAAAATCTGAAGTGCTCAGTGATGAGTTATTGCAAGTGAGTAAATAAAATCATTGTATACTGCCAAATTTTCACAGGTATAAATTTGTTTGATTTGATCGTTTGACATTTGTAAGTAATACATTCTTTTTAGCTGTGACTTTCTGCCAAAGAACTGCAGTGAAATTTGTGATTTCATCAGCGTTCACGATTATATATCATTCCCTAATATTTTTCTTTGTTCAGCTGGGTAAAAATACAAGTGACATATTAATGTTTTCCTGATTTTTTCAAAACATCATTTAGCATCAAAATTAATGACAACATTATAGTGCAAAATGTTCAAACACTTACAGAGTTTTGCAGGAAAATTGAAAATAGTAAAAAGAAGAAAATGAAATGCCTGCTTTGTTCACAAATTTTATTCTAAAGGGTTAAATATACTGAAGATCAATAAAAGATTGATATGTATGCTTACAATATAAACATTGGGACTGAATGTTATCATTGGGGTGACTGACCTAGTCTTTATACAATCATTTAGTATACATGCTGTCCGCCTCAAATAAAAATGCACTTCAAGGTATATTTCTATGCCATTTGAATATAATGTGTAAATCTTGGTAACTCAAAATATGGTCAGTCCCATACTCTCCATCTAGAATTTTCAAGGTATTGTGTTCAAGGTTTACTGCCTCACATATATAGCAGAGTTAGGTAGATTTCCAATTAGAATAAAAATAACTCTAGCAAAAATTAAATATTGGTATAGACTTAGCATGTTTGCTGACAATAATATTCTTATGAAAACAAAGCAATTAAATCAAAGTGGATAAAACATATTGAAAATATTATTGGTCTGAAGGAACTGGATGAAGCAAAAGAACAGCACAATGTAGATAATCCACTAGTAGTAGAGACAAAAATGAAGGCAATAAACTTAGGACATATAAACAATTCAAAATAAACTATGAATTTGAAAATTCTCTAAATGAAATAAATAACTTTTAGCTTATGTAAAATGTTATCAAAATTCAGGCTTAGTGATCACATTTTGGAAATTGAACTGGGGAGAAGGAGAAAACCAAAACTACCAGCAGCAGAAAGTGTCTGTAAAAAATGTGATCAAGGCGATACAGAAGATGAAAAACATTTGCCTTTGAGTTGCTCGTATTTTGCTCATATTTTGAAAATGAAAGAAAAATCCTCCTGAAAAACTGCGAAATTACCTAAATTGAAAAGAACAAAGACGTAATGTTGTTAAAAATAATGAAAAATAACATTGCTCTTTCACTATATCTAAAAAATACCATATACAAAACACCGCCTGTGTAAACCCCTGGGTAGGGAGAGCCTTTTCTTTGATTTATTTACTGTATTTTTATTACCAGTACTTTCTGATTTTTGTTGTTGTAGTTATTAGACCTTAAATTTGTAGTTAATTTTAGTTGCATTACTCAGATTTTATTTTACACTATTTTTACCTTACTGTATCCACAGCAGATTACAGTTGCATAATAAACTATTATTATTATAACTAGGGAGAAATCTTACATGAAAGTGGTGTATGTTAGTTCTGCTGCTGCTACAGTTGAAATAGAGAAATATTTAGCAATCTGATTGCTTCTTCTATCTAGTACACAACATATAAATTATATTACAATTTATGGGATTTTCATGTATCTGAGGCAGGTGCTTGCATATGTATATAGGCAATGAATAATATAATAAATAATTTATATTGAGTTGGGCTGAGTATCGTCATTGTCTCTCCAGTTGTGTTGTATGTACAAGTACCAGTAGTGACAGTACATGTACATACATGAAATCTGAAAATCTGCCCAGAACTCAAGTTCCAGTGTCAATAACTTTTCTATCGCAAATAGTGTTACCACAGGGGCTTCTTGAAAAAGGAATTTCTAAAACTTCTTTAAACATAGTATTCAATTCTGTGTATTAAAGCATGTGTGATTGACTCGTGAATACCCATGGTAGTAACCTGTCACATAATCTTGTAAGAAGTAACTATCTGATGTATAATTTGTTTATGACAGTGTGAGAAGAAGATAGAAACACTGAAACATGTGTCACACAACACAACTAAGAAACTGTCAGCATGTTTACAAGGACAGGGGCAGGATTTTGATAAAAGACTGGTAAGTGCTTCCTTGTTTCTTTATTCAGACATCTAGTATTAAGCTCCAATTTAATGCAATGGTCTACTGTAGAATACTTTATTTTAGCTGGAATTAATTTTCGCTGAAAAGACTTTGGCATTTTGTATGGAATTTATTTTCACTAATTTTTCATGAGTTGAATGTAAAATATAGAAATAAAAACATATACATGCTGGATTTTATTTTCACTGAATCATTCCTTCAGCGAAAATTTGTTCCAAGTGAAAATAAAGTATTTTACAGTAACTAATGTGTTCACTGGGGTTCATCGTTTCAAAATTCAAATTCAACCCCTTGTATTTTCTCACTTGATTTTGTAGAAATGAAATCAAAACAATTACTGAACAAACAAGTGCTAGTGATTGGAGGGCATGTTACACATACTGTGACAAGTAGTTGGTCATCCATGCTAGTGGGCGGTTCTCAACTTTTCAAAATATTCATGAAGACTAGCGATCAAAGGGCATTTCACATACTGCCTTAGTAGTTAGTCTTCCATGCTAGCGGGTGGTTCTCAACTCGTGAATTTAAATCCCAATGAATTCATTAACAATTATTTCAACAGTGTAATTAAATCTCTGTGAAAATTAATGCTTTTAGATGTAAAAAATTAATGCAAAATATAAGCATCATACCATGCAGTATTTTCTCATGTGTGAAAGCAGCTTTTCTGCTTCCTCAAATTAGACACTTGTTTTTCAACTTATCTAGTGAGTAAACTTGAGTTTAGACACACTAAACTTTATATTACACTTCAACGTGAGTACACAGAATACCAG